ATCCTGCACAACCCCCCTGAGATGCTGCAGTATCTGTGGGGTGCTTTGTCGGGTCTCAGGGGGCTTTGCAGGATCTGTGGGGGGCTTTGCCGGGTCTCCGGGGGGCTTTGCAGGATCCATAGGGGCCTCTGCAGCCTGCAAAGCCCACCACAGATCCTGCACAACCCCCCTGAGATGCTGCAGTATCTGTGGGGTGCTTTGTCGGGTCTCAGGGGGCTTTGCAGGATCTGTGGTGAGCTCTGCGAGGTCTATGGTGGGCAGAGCCCACCACAGATGCTGCACAGCCCCCTGAGACTGCAGGGTCTCAAGGGGGCTGTGCAGGATTTGTGAAGGTCTCAGGTGGGCTTTGCAGGATCTGTGGCGGGGTCTCAGGTGGGCTCTGCAGGGTCTCAGGTCACAGCAGAGAGCCGTGACAGGATCGAGAGGTGAGCGAACGCCGGTATGTGTTCGCTCACTTCCCGATCTACTGAGCCGTCCTGTGACAGTCTCATTGTCACAGGTCGGCTAGAACTATGAGGTGAGTGAAAAGCACTCACCTTATAGTTCTCCTTTAAGTTGGTGCTTGTCATTGCATTTTGATAATGATCTTTTACTAATAAAAAAAATATTTTGTTGCAATATTTGTTCTAATATTGTTAGTTAGACAAGAAACATGTTTTTCTAGATAATGTAAAAATAAAGTGAAAGGCAGGAACAAGGAAACCACAATATTAAACAGGAAACCAATTAAAGTTAACTAGTTAAAGAGAGTGCTATCAAAGCACATGACATCACATGTTTTAGAGTAAAGTAGCATGACTTAGCTGTAAATGGAACTCTACAGGTTCTATTCATGAGATCTCATAAAATAATACATTTCTACGGGTGCTACAGTAAAAGCAAAAAGGTCAGAAGTGTTAACAAGTCATGTGGCCTACAAACATTCTTAGTGTTCCAGTTTGCTGTTTTTGTCTTTTTTATAAACAGCACAATCAGGGCGTATCTAGAAATCACAGGGCCCCATAGCAAAATTTTGTATGGGGCCCCGTGATTTCTAGTTATACCACTTGCAGAGCCCACTCGAGATCCCACCTGAGGGTGAACTTGCAGAGCCCACCGTAGACTCTCTATGGTGGGCTATGCAGGGTCACCCTCAGGTGGGCTGGTCGCACTCCTTACCTGTCCGCCTCCTCTTCCTCCACGGTCGCTGATTGGCCCCACCTCCTCATCCATCGCCGGGCCTGACTCCTTCTTCGTCACTGGGCCCCCGCCTCCTCCCCTGCTGCCGACCTCCTCTTCCACTGCCGCTGCTGCCTCTCATTGACTCTGTGGAGAGGAACGCGCTGCTGCACAGATTACTGTCAGTAATCTGAACGGAGGCGTGTTCGTCTTCAGCCGCCAGTGAAAGCCACCAGCAGAGGATCCCATAGCGATCCAGGCGGCCCGCACGGCATCTGGCCGGGCCCCACTGTGACCCGGGCCCCATAGCGGCCACCTGGGTCACTATAGTGATTGTTACGCCACTGAGCACAGTTTTTCTTTTTATATTCATCTGGAATTTTCTATCACAAATTCAAGAAAAACCTGTACTGAGGCTATGGCCTTACAAAATTATTAGACTTCCTGCATCTGGCCTTCAATATTTTCGGTGTTACTGACCTGGGACAAACATAATTCCAGTGGAGTAAGAGCGAAGTCAGAATGACTAATCTGCATATTTGTTCCAGGTCATATGCTCAAAAGAAGGTAATGAATGAGTTTGACGGTAGCATTTTCAGAAGGAGATATAAACAATGGCAGCCTCCATATGTCTATGATCTGAGGATCACTTTAAAGCGTTCATCTAAAACAAAATCTAAGAAAGATGGTTACAGCACTCAGCTAATTACCCAATGGACCACACTGACCACACTACCTGC